CATAAATAGCTGCATCACATTTAACCGTTTGAGTTGGGTGGAAAGGGAATTTCCACTTGCTATAAAGCTGGGATAACTTTGCTTCTGACTAAAATTTTATTTCTCTTGCTGCAGGCAGTACAGCATTGAATCCTCAGCTTGATGGGCACTGTGCAGAGGGCTGGGAATGAATTAATTGTTTTGAATGCCACTGTACAAGACAGAGCAAAACAAGTAAAGTTAAGCTGCAAAAAGCCTTATAAATAAACAAGAACAACATCTTATGTTTTATGTTTTTCCCTATATTTGTAAAACTTTTAAAAACATATGTAGTGCTACATACAAGGATCAATAAACAATTGTATAAAATACTGTAATCAAGGAATAGAACATAAAAAACTATATTACACCAATACAGAATACTGTTCAATTTATACAGTCATTTAAATGCTGAATGTAAGAGCTTATCAAAATAAACTGCATTAGTGTATGTAGTGCATATATTAGTATGCAGAAAGCATTTTTGTTTAAAAACAAGTATTAAACATACATTTGTTGTAATGAGAGTCATACTTATGGCTACAGATGGTGAGTTACCAACCTGTGTGTAATCATATTCTGGCAGTTCAGCATGAGTGATCTGGGGTATTTTGGTGAAAGAAAAAACTTCCCCAACCCCAATGGGTTAGTATAGCAGAGTGGAAAACCCACGATCCAGATGTCAGTGACCAGTTCTCAAATCAAAGGATTTCCTTGATCAGAAGCCAAAGGGACCTGGCATTTTCTGTTGTTTTATTTTTCAACTAAGGCTGCATCTGAGTCAAGATACTGCTCAGGTCCACAACACTGGATGCAGCTTTTTCCTACTGGCTAGCTGTAATATAACTGTTTGGGCAGTTCCTTTTGGAAACCATGTGGGGAGAAAGAATATAAAATGGCTTGGTTTGCAGTCTACACTGTAGGAATAGTACAAAAGGGAAAATGCACACTCAATGAGACCAGCACGAGGCCAAGCTCCCTTCAACAAAGTGCATACCTACAGGTTGAGACTTTCATTAGGGTGGAAAGCTAGAGGCACACTTCAAACATCCATCACCCAAATCTCTCGATATTTGATTGAATTGATGGTTGGAAAGTGGGGGAGTGGTTAGTTCTGAAAGACACTTGGAGATACAGAAGAGGTCTGCAAATGCCAATTTCATGTGCTTAACAGGCACAAATCAGTCTTAATGTATAGTACTACCTTGTTACCTGTCCCTGGCTGTTCTATATGCATGCTGCCATTTGTACAAGAGTTAAGTCCAACTTTAATCCGGGGTTGGATAAACTGGCAATTTGGCAACAGTTTAAATCAGTGATAGAAAGCTTAAACTGTTCCATCACAAACACATTGTTATTTCGTGGATTAAGCTGCCTTTATAATTGGCTATGATAGCAAGAACTGCAGATGCTGGAATCAGAGATAACAAAGTGTGGAGCTGGAGGAACACAGCAGGCCAGGCTCTGTATAATCTCCATAAGTGGCTACTAGTTTGGATTAGCAAATATGACAGAACATACTATTACAAAGTTCTTTTCTTGCCTCTTTCCAGCTGATGTTATGTAGACTCAAAGTGATTTTGGGGTCTGGGACATGTGTTAGAAAGCTGAGGTAGGATGAATTTGGGTACAGCAGAGAAATATTCCAACAGGCTGGTGACTCTTGAGCCTTACTATTACTTCAGCCTCTTCAAAGACATAATGACAGCAGCTGAAGAGCCATAAAAATGTGAGCAAAAGGGGTTTTTCTTTCTAGTTTGTAATTTGTGCTCCCCAAAGAAAAGTACAACTACCCACAGAACACACAAGTCCCAACTGTGACAGGAGAGGATATGAGCACACACCTAGCCATCCCAATGGAAGCGAATACACTTCAAATGACCCACAATTTTGACCGTCGCTTGAATGACTGTACTAATTCCTTCAGCCTGTAAGAGGCTGAGAGTCTAGACCGTAAAAGCTGCAGCAAATCACTGCATTGTGGCACTTCATAGTACAAATATATAGAACTGTACAAGCATATATTCTGCAAAACAATATAAAATTATATACACCAAAGTGTCAAACTATGGCAATCTTTCTCCAGCCTGGGAGTCTGCAATATGCAAAGGTCTCTTTCCAACAAACAATACTCAGTTTGTAACATTTGCGAATAGTATTAAATAGATACAGAATTGACAGTGTTCATTTTTTGTTTCTGCAACCAAAATGCCAGCTGTCTAAAATGAAGGCATCGTGGAGCAGTTTTACCCAAGAGAGGTTTGTATAACATACAACTTAGTTTCCCCCTATGTAAAGCAGTAAAAAGCATATATAAGTTTGTTAAATGTGTGCTGGTACTTTTAACACATACTGAAGTGCACTGGAACTCTGGCACATTTTGAGGAGTCAACTCTCTCCCATTCATTTCCTAAACATCAACCTGATGATATAAGTATGTCCAAATTTGTTTCCATTTCAGGTGTGAATTCACACTTTGGTTAAATATTTGGCTGAAGCGATTTTCATGCTCCTGATCTTGACCTGGACTATCAAGTGCAGACTCTTCTCTTGTGCTCTATAGAAATCACCTGGGGGGATGGCACACACAAACCAAACCATCAACTTTTTCCAGTGAATGGTCTGCACTTTCAATGATGATTAGTACATGTCAGCAGACAGCCTTGCCCATCTTTGCTTGCTGCACTGGTTGGGGAAACTGAAGGAAGCGGAGAACACATGACACGTAATTCAAAATGTTCTAGGCTCAATGTAGTAATGTCTTTGGCTATGTGACTGTATATTTGGGCATTAGCTTAAAGGCTTGATGGAGACCAGGGCACTTTTGGTATTAAAACATTCAATAGATAATTCACATAACTGTTAGAAAGAAATTAGCCTGTCATGAAGACACACAGTCTCTTCCTACTTTTGTAGTTATATAATACTCTGCATTGTGATGTTACATTCTTTGATTATTTTACATTGAGAAGTGAACATTTCAACATCTATAGAGATTAACCTTTATTTCTGTTTTGCCAGGTTATGCAATACCTGGCTGCTAGGGCAGATTTGATGTCCTTCATCCACACCTCTGCAGAGTCTTTGCTAAACAAGGTGTGCAAGGGATTTGTGAAGTGACTCTGCCCAACTCTTCGAAGTCTGTGTGGAAGTAGCAACTTCTGCTTAGCTCATTCCCACTGATGAACACTTGATATGAAATTATTGATGCTGGATCTCCCACATCCAACACCCCAGTGCACCACACCACCTACAGAAATAGTTTAAAACAGAAGTGGTCTAGTAGGTTTAACTCTCAGACTTTACCATTGCATGATCAACAAACACGGACTTCAGCAAGTGTCCAACACTAATTGAAGCGTAGAACAGGGATGAGGGGAGGTGGGGTGGGGAGAAAGGTTAATAGTGGGGGGAAAGAAATTATAGTAAATGAATCTCTAGGGCTCCCAGCACTGGCAAACATCTTTGGACTCAGGTCAGCAGACCAATATTTCAACCTGTCAATCTAAGCCTATGCTGAAGCTGCCAACTTCAATTTTTGATGTCACCAAAACAAGAATAAATCAGGTAAAGTCCACAAGGTCTGTCAGGTGATAATGATGGTTCCTAATTGCTGCTGAAACCGAGGCAATGCAAGTGCTCAAAGATGCAGTTCGTTGTTTGTTCTTAGGAAGGGTTGCTGTTCACCAAGTCCCCTCAGAGGCAGCTTCTACAGTCCAACTGCAGTAGTACTTAGACTGTTGAACATTTGTCTCATTGAATACAGACAGAAACTCAGTATGGAACAATTATGTTAGAGAGGAATTGGAGCCAACAGGTTAAAGGAAAGTAGACCAACCTTGGCTGCCTTTCATTTCAAACAAAACATTCAAGTACTCTGAGAAGTTGTCATCTGAAAAAAAAATGTGTAAATGTATTTTCCCTTTTTAAAAATATGAAAAACTGATCCGGCTTTACTTTAAAAACACAATCTACTGGAGTGGCTCTGCACTGCAAGCCTTTAGCACTTCACTGGGTCTGACAGAGGACTCTCTGCCATGCCTAAGTGATTGAAGACTTTGTGGAGAATTTCTGTGCAGCTCAGTGCCAGGATGAATCATTTCCCCCTTCCTGCCAACAGCTGTTGACCATTACAGGAACACAAATTTCAAGACTGTTTGAAAACCTGGATATATCAGTAATAATCCCAATTTCTTTTTGAACTCAGGAAAATAAATGGAAGAACTGGAAACAGTAGCTTTTGCTAGTCTTTAGAGGTGCTAATGGTATGCATTTTCTCACAATACACTCAACTATTCCATCTGCAACTAATGTAGTATTTAACCATAGTCTAAACTCCACATCTACAAGAAGTTTTAATTGGAATGAGTGGGGGAGTATGTTTGAAAAGAAGAGAAAAAGATTTTTGAAGAGAATAGACCAAAACTGTTATGAGATTTTTGGATGAAGTTTTTGAGGGATTTGGTGAATTGGGCAAAGATGTTAAACGTGAGAAATTTAGGATGAGGGTTACAGAATGCGAGGGTGAGTCGTCAGAAGGAAGAGTTGCTGAAGGAAATAGAGGATGAAGTGGGAGTTGTATCCCTGGTTCCTCACAAAACATTAGAACAGCTCGTCTGCCAAAGTGGGTAGACAATTAACAATATGAAAACGGCAGCTTAGTGTAAACAGCTAAGTATTTTTTATTCATTTATGGGATGTGGGTGTCGCTAGGTAGACCAGCATTTATTGACCAGAGGGCAGTTAACACTCAACCACATTGCTGTGGATCTGGATTCACATGTAGGCCAGACTAGTGGAGCAGATGCGTTTTTCCGACAATCTGCAATGGACTCACAGTTATCATTAGACTCAATTCCAGATTTTTACTGAGTCCAAATTTCACCACTTGCTGTGGCAGGATTTGAACCTGGGTGCCCCGAACACCACCTGGGTGTCTGCGTTAATAGTTTAGTGATAATACCACTAGGCCATCTCCTCTCCAATTCAGATGCCAGGCTAATGTTCTGGAGACAAAAATACAAATCCCACCATAGCATCTTGTAGAATTCTAATAAATAAATCTGCAATATAAAGCTCGTCTCAGTAATGATGATTTAAAACCATCATCATTGTTGTAAAAAGCCCATTGAGTTCATGTTCTTCTAGGAAGGAAATTGGCATTCCCTACTTGGTGTGGTTTACACCCGACTCCAAACCCACAGCAATGTAGTTGATCAACTGCCCTCTGAAATGGCCAACAAGCCATTAGTTCAAATGCATTTATGGATGGACAGCAAATGTCTAGTCAACTAAGCCCACATCATGAGTAACATTGAGTAAAAGTGATGGTCTGGATGAGGGAAATGCTGGTAATGGCAATTACATTATGGCCAGTCAAATAAAGATGGCGAATACATCCATTGCTACACGATGCACTGGGCAGCACAGAATGGCACTCAAAGTCTCCTGCCAACTGCTGCAAAACCAGCTGCTTTTCCTTAAAGGCACCGTATTTGCATTAGATTTATGCAACAGTCTCAAGTCTTATATATAAATATATATATAAAACCATCAAATAGCATTTCTTGTATAAATAAAAATAAAATAAAAGTATAAAGAGGCATAAATTACATCAGCAAAGAGGAAGTTAAAAAATAAGTTCAGTACAAAATACATTCAAGAAAGTGCATCTTCACAGAGCTGAAAGCAGTTGGCATTAAGCCTTATACTGAAAGTATATCTTTGTCCCTTTGTTCTTTAACTCAGTGTTAGTACTGGATTCAAACGATGGGCAATACCTCCACTGCATTCACTTTGAGGGCATCTGGGATTGTCTGTGCTTTAAGGGTCACACAATATGGTGGGAGAACAGGGCTACAACAGTGGATAGAAGTAGTTTAAGTGAAGACTTTGGAAATAGAGAAGTTTTAAAACAAGTTAACTAGTGGCAGCTAATTTGTTGTAGATCTGAGTATTTATCTGGTGTAATTGCCACACTAAACAAAAAGTATAAAACCACAATGAACAAAATTGATCATCATAGCCCCTGCTGTCCTCTATTGTGATACGTGGCGTAAATTGTCAATACCAATTTATTTTTATATGGACAAAGAATGGTATTTGTGATCAGAAGTCATCAACTGTATCAAAAAATGACAGACAGCAGGCTAGCAAGAAAAAAAGGTCAGACACCCATTCATAGCATAATAGGTGTGGAGTGGCAGTGCCATTAACAAGTACCACTGAAATACTTCTCACCAGCACACATTAGGATGCACCAGTTTCAACTCGAAGTATAAGTAGGGCTATAACTAATAACCTCCACGGAACATCCAAAACATTTGTACAAATTAGAGAGCATTGTTTGTGCGATTTCGTAGTTACTGTGTGTTCAGCTGTGCTGTGGAAAAGTCTCAATGTAAAACTGTAATGCTAATTCCATTGCACAAAGAGGTGTTGCCCATCGCTGGCTGCAGATATCAAGGAATTGCCAAAACCCTGCATATTACAAAGCCAATGCAGTGGCTGAGTCACATGGAAAGGCAATTCTGAATGAACATGTCTCTCTACTGATATATGCAATTATTCACATAACAGCAAGGGTTAATTTCAGTGTCATTACTTTGTTGAACTGACGGATTCACTGGCAGAACACTAACATTTAGCAAATAAGAAACTTGCATTTTTTTAAATATAACAAACCTAAAGACGTAGGGTGCAACTGGGGGAGTGCACCTCTTTGTTTCAGTTGTGAGAACTAGCACCTTTAAATATGAAACAAATGAAAAGTGACATTCGTCTCCCCTCTTGTTTCCCCTCCAAACATGGTGACTGGCTGCCTTGTCAAAAATACATTGTTGAAATCTGCAAATTCCAATCACTAGAACTAATCAGTAACCAGGCATTTAACAATGTAGCCACATTACAGTTTGCCTTGATGTGGATCTTATCTCATTGAGTAGGAAATTCAAGGTTGCAAACAAAAAGAAAATGATTAGACTTTGGTAAACAGTAGATGTATATGTGCTTACACACATATACACACACACACACACACACACACAAAATATAACATTCCTGATTGAAGCACGAGTTTGACAGAAACAGGTGAGGTGGAAATCTGGCAGCCTGTATCTCGATCTCACCAGAATTATTTAAGCACTGCTCCTTGTAGAAAGCCTTGCCTCCAATGCATATGAAAATAGACAGATGGAGAAAACGGAATAGAAAGTCAACAAGGCGCATTTGGAATTTGGGAGTAAAAGTACAATATATACATTCCTCAAAAAAACAGCATTACTTCCACTTTGCATAACATAGGAAATTGCTTGTTCTGTGGAACGACTATATGTTTTCATGAAGTGTTCCAGGGTTTGTTGAAATGCTGCTTTCTGTCCTGTTGATGGTGTACAGTGTTGAGATGAGACCTTCTGTTGAATAAACTGTCGATGGTGTCTGTAAATGCATTGAGAATTGTGTAGTTGTTCAGCTATCTTCAGTATTCACCCTATACCACAGGACAAAACTGCTGCCTTGGGATACAGACACTCATGTAACTGGTGTTACTGAGTACATTGTCTGAATGGAACACTAGGTATAACAACCTTTAGACAGTTTTTAAAAAATACTATGATTAAGAAAATCCCAGCTTCAAAGCAAGCTACCTCCATCAGTGAATTAACTGGACAAATGGATTTCTGAACAGTTCCTCTGCTGATGGTCTTTGCTTTGCATCCACAAATATTTTCTTCAGGAAGTCCCTGCAGTGATCGGAAATGTGAGATGGCAGCTGGGGGTTTGTTGGTTGAGTGGCGATTTTGAAAATGGCAGCCATAGCTTCGTACTCAGCCCAGGGAGGTTTCTCTGTGAGCATCTCCACCACCGTACATCCCAGGCTCCTAAGGAAAGGCAAGTAAAATGGCAAATTGTAATCAAGTTGGAGTCACAGAGCTGTCAATAAAGGAAGCACAGAGTAAACAAAGAAATATAACAGAAAAATAATAGAAATATTCAGCAGGTCAAGCAACATTTGTGGAGACAGAAACGGAGTTAGGTTTTAGGTCAATGACCTTTAGTCAGAATTTAAAAATGTTACAGCCTCAATCAACTTCAAGTAATCAAACAACCTGAGCCTTTGAATATTCAAATCCCCCAGCACCCAAATGCGCAGACCTTGTTAACTCCAATCATCTGCCCCCAAAGTCTCCAACTACCCAGTAATATCTAATCCCCAAATAACCAACAGCACTGCCTGTCCCAGCATTACAATCATTGAAAATTTCGATCTAAATAATTTTAATAGGGGAAGATAATAGCATGCGAACCATGCTTCATAACCTGACAAAACGTTTGAAGTACAGGACAATGACTTTGAGATTGCAACCTGACACCTACTGCAGTGGGAATTTCAGCAACACTCAAACTCGAAATCCAGATCAGCAGAGAGATAAATTTGATAAGGATATGCATACATTACTGCAATATTCCAAAGCTAGCTAGAAGTCCACATACCAGATGGAGTGCAATTTAGGCAGGTCATTAAGCATTTTAAAAAAAATCTAGAGCAATATTCTACCGGCTCACATGCAAAAATATAGTTAGTGGCTGTGGAAAACAGGCAAGGAAAGTGCCTGAAGTGTTGGAACACGAGATCAGCATTCTTCACCAAATGAAAAGTTCCTCTTAATAATGCAGCAAAAACACCAAACCTATTAAATGTCATTTGGAATAACAAAATCATTGGGCACTGTGTCCACTTCCCTGCTTTTAGGTTTGTCTTTACCATTACTATACTCACAGGACAAGAACATGTGAAATTGGAAAATTCCATCCTATAAATAGCCAGCACACCTCTTGTCGCTGGCTGGCTGCCAGAGTTTGAATCTCCTGATCAGAATCTACCAATCCACCAAGACATGGTACAAGTACAGAATATCAATGAAAACTGAGCAAATGTGCTGATCAATCATCTTCTCTGAAATTATTGTACCACTCAAGATTCAACAGCTGAGCAACTCTTCTCCTTCAATCAATATTCCTGAAAGTCAGTTCAGTAAAGCCACGTAAAATGAGTATCTTACAAAATTCACAGTTCCCAGCCATACAAGGAAAGTAAATATATCATGACATTCACTTACACAATCAAACCAAGGAAAAATCCAAAGGTCTGCGTGTTTCAAGGCATGTATTGAGGCAATTCAAATTAAGTAGCCAAGTAAGGATCTACAGAGCAAGACGTTGGAATTGCATTTAATTCAGCACGAGGAACTTCCCTTACATACCGAAACAATGCAGAGCATTGTAGCAAGACTGCAAATTGAGACTGATGCAATCATGACATGTGCACACACACACAGACTCTCCCTCTCTCCCCCTGCAAGACACCCCAACACACACACACACACACTCTCCCTCTCTCCCCCTGCACCCCAATCACACACACACACGATCCCCCTGTCCACACACAACACACACGCTCCCCCTGCTCCACACACACACACTCTCCCTGCCCCACAAACACACACACACACACACACTCCCTGCCCCACACACACACACACACACTCCCGGCCCCACACACACACACACACACTCCCTGCCCCACACACACACACACACTCCCCCTGCTCCACACACACACACAC